CGCAAACCTGAAGAAGTTGATTGGTTTTTCACTCTTTAAATGTTTTTTATAATCTCTGATTTTAAGTGATTCCTAGAATCCCAGATATTTTGATGGCATCTTAATAATTTTCTCTTGCGTGCTTCCCCAAAAAACTGTCCATACACAAAAGTTGATAATCGTATGGGATTTTTATACAGACTACTTTGAACCAGTGCACCATGATAATGGGAAATGTGTACACAACTCAAAACCAAGAAAAAACTGTATTTTTCTTTTATATGCAAATAAACTGTTTATCTCTGTAACGAGGCCGGTGCAAGCACAATCTTAATGAAGCTTCTAACGAAAAAAATCAGAATTACCGGAAATATGAAAAGTTATTTTTACGTGGATTTAAATGTTTAACAGATAAACACTTTTATTCAAGATCTGCATGTAGTCTGTAAAAGCAGAAAACTGAAAAGGATTTAAGTTTTTTTATTTGAAAACTATTGTCTGATTGAAATTATTTTCCTATTCTTACATGTACATTCACAAATAAAATTAAATAAAATCCAGTAAACATACACCCCCTCTTGAAATTAGAATTTTGATTAGCTGAATCATAGTTCTAAACCATACCAATTGGCACCCTTTAAACAAAAGATGTCCAAGAGGCTCTTTTTTTTCTTTTTTTTTTTTTTCTTTTAATTTTTTAACTATTGCCGACTTTCCCAGCACTGTCCCTTTGGCGCATTAATTAATTTCTAAATGTGTGTTATTTAAAGGTAATTTAAACAAATCGTTGCTCGGCCCGTCCCTGTATTAAGATTCTATTTTTAACCTAAATAATATTATAATTTACCTCTAAATGAATGGCCAATGATTTACAAAACCATCTGCTTTCCTGGCTAGCACATGTAGGCCTACATCACATACTGTACCGGGCATGGCTTCGTTTTCCTTGTATGAGTCACAAGAAGTTTTTATTTATTTATTTATTTATTTATCTTTTTTTTTTTCTGACGTGACCTTGCATGGCGTCAAATACAAATGATTTTATTTCTGGCTTCAAGTTGTGAGATGTCACGGCTACCTCCATGACTGAGAAGTTTAGAGGAATCCACTTGCAATCCATGAAAGTAAGGCTGGATACCCATCCTTAGATTGATCTAACAGGATCGGCTCATGTCCACGGGGTTTCTCGCTAAATTCCTTTCAGCTTAAGTGGCTTAGATGTCCGAGACGCCTGCTGAAGCTGCTAAACGATAGTTAATGAATTAATCAGCTTTAGTGGGCGTGACAGACATCTAATTAAGCCGCTTAAGTTAATTGCAATTAAGCGAGAATCCCCTTGGAGATAGTTCGATCCAAAATTAGTACGATAGGGCCTGGGAATGGCCTCTAAGGTACGGATATCAATAATTTCTATCTTCATTATGTGTATATCGCTACGTCCCTATTGTACAAGCTTTTGCCACCCACCCACTTTCCGGTAGCTTAATGTCCTCAGCCATTTTGGAGAAGGGATTATACATAGGCTATATCAGGGACAGAAATCATGCAGGTCAGAGGTCGCCAAGTCATGTTGAAGTAAACGGTTTCCTATATTTAGGATTTTTAGGAGCTTTACCCCGGCAGTTGACAATAATTCCTTTGAAGTTGGCACTGCGGCGCATCTTTAGAATACAGAAATAAAAAAATTATAACATATAATAATTTGTTCCTTATTACCTGCTCTTTAGGGCCTACAAGGAGGTCACCTTATTTGTTATGTTCTTAATTTTTCGAAAATTCCATTTATTCTCAGTTTTTCAAATATTCTGTGTTATTTTACATGTAACATGTAGCGGCCAGGGTGGTTTCTTTGTGGAGTGTTTACGGTGGTTGTTCACTCTTAATTTTTTTTTTTTTTTGCATCTTCAAAACAGGGCTTGGCAAAATTAATGAATAACAATGCAGTTCTTTAAAAAAA